GCCTGCGCTCCCCTCTGGGAGGCAGGGAATAGCAGTTCAGGCTACGCTCCAGCTGTTTCCCCAAATGGGCAAGACCATCCCGGTGGGGGGCGGGAGCTGGAACCACCAGTGCAGCTGAAAAGCAGATGGTGCGGGACAGGACAGCGTTTCCTTCTTTGGGCATAAGGTCGCTATGGGTTGGAGCGGACCCAACGGCACCTTACAGTAACAAACAACACACTTTATCCTGGGTTGTGGGCTATGGTACAGACGGTGTCAATTGCCTGAGATGTGTAGAGGGACTTTTTTCTGAGAAGGGGGCCGCAGGCCAACTAAGTTGGGGAAACTATGCACTAGAGCAGTGGTTCTCGACCTTCTTAATGCTGCGACCCTTTAATACAGCTCCTCATGTGGTGGTGACCGCCCACCATCAAATTATTTTCGTCGTCACTTCATCACTGTAATTTTGCTACGGTTATGAACCGGGCGACCCCTGGGAAAAGGTCGTTCGACCCCGAAAGCGGTCATGACCCACAGGTTGCAAACCGCTGCTCTAGAGTAACACTGGATTTGAATCCCAGAACTGCCCATGTGATCTGGACAGGTTTACCAGATGTGTGACCTTAGACAAGCTTCCTACTTGTGCTGAGCTGCACCTTTAAAGGGAAGGAGAGAAGGGAAGGAAAGAGTACCTATCTCACTGGTGTTGTAAGAATTAAATCAGCTGTTGTGAAATGCTTAGCACAGTATAAGCCTTGTGGTATTATTCTTGCAAATAAACTCACTGCCCCTGAGCCAATTCCAACTTACAGGAACCCTACAGGACAGGGTGAAACTGCCCCAAGACTAACTCCTTCCAGTAGAACGCCTCATCTTTCTCCCATGGAGCAGCTGGTGGTTTCAAACTGCTGACCTCATGGTTAGCAGCCCAACACTTAACCCCGATGCCGCCAGGGCTCCTTACTATTTTAAGCCGCAGCTGCACACAGGAGACTAGTGGGAGACGGCGCTTCTGCCCCGTAGCGTCACGCTCAGCTCACAGGGGCACATCTACCCTGTCTTACAGGCTCGCCGAGTCAGCATCGCCTCAATGGCAGTGAGTTCTGGATTTTTTGATGTATACACACAGGAGGCAGCAAACCTCTCTTGTCCTCTTTGGATCAAACAAAATGATAACCATGGAAAAGACCCCTCGAAGCTGGGGATACACGTGAGAACTCTGGGTGTATCCAATCCCGTCAATAGTCAGGAGCGCCTGTGAGGCGTCAGGATTTACCACCTCACTCACCCCAAGCCGCATGACTTAGCGTGACAAAAAATCCTGACTGCGTCGTTTTGCATGTCGCTGTCGGTCGCTGTCCAGTGCCCTGGCCAGCCCACATGTGTGTGGAGCAGAGCTGCCCGCAGGACTTTCAGGGCCCTGGCCTTTCTTCTGAGGATCTGCTGGGTGGGCTCAAACTGCCAACCTTTCGGCTAGTAATTGAGCGCTTAACCATTTGCACCACCCAGAGACTCCAAAAATGATATACGGAAACCTCCAAAAGCTCATTTTTTAAGACACGCTTAAAATATAGATTACTGTAGCACTACAGGAGAAAATGAAATACCAGAGCAAAATGTAGCACACTGGCTAAAGGAGTGATGGGTGCTGACCTAGAAAATGCCATCCTAACGCACTGAGATCTGGGGCGCATCCCTCCCTCACTGGCCACGGTTCCCAGTCCACTACCTTCGGCCTTAGGTGATCCCTGGGCACCTTCTCACCGGCCACCTGGAGCTTTTCCACACCTGAATTAAAGCCTGGTCTTGTTTACTGAGCTGGCAGCGCCTCCTAGTGGGGAGGGCGAGCAAGACACCCAGGGCTAACCACCCAGCTTTGGTCCCTTGTACCCTTCTGCCTTTAGTATCTTGTGGGGCAAAGACAGTTAGTCTCAGTAACCCACAGGGGCAGTTCTACCCTGCCCTCTGGGGTCGCTGTGTCGGCATCGGCTCAACGGCAGCAAGTTCGGTTTTGTGTTTTCGCGTCTTGCTACTCAAAATAAGGTGTCTTGGGCTGGGCTGCTAACTGCCAAGGTCAGAGGTCAGCAGTTCGAAAGACCAGCTGCTCCACAGGAGAGAGGTGAAGCTTCTTCCTCTTGGAAAGATTGACAGCCCCAGAGACCTGCAAGGGCAGTTCCCCTCTGTCCTACAGGGTTATGACCCGGAATCCACTCGGTGACATGAGTGACCGTGTCCCAACAACCAGCAGCGGCATCCCAAGCTTGAGAAATGCAGAAAACCCCAGCCCCCCCAATCCCACCCCCACCCCACCCCCCGCCACCCCCACCCCCACGGCCAGACGCCGACACCTTGTCATATTTGGCTGTGATTCGTGTGCAGGTCAAGTGTGGAAGGGACCTGTTCATAGAAGGCCAGGGCAGCTGGTTAGGGCCAGAGTCTAACAGATAGGCAGCCCAGAAAGAAATCCAGACCTGACCCATATAAATACAGCGAGCCCTTCCCAACAGGCATGGAAAGAGCTTGTCATGGGATGAAGATCCAGTTTCTGGGAAATGCCGACCTGTCTTCTAAAGGAGCCAAAGACAGGGGCAGGGGTCCCAGGCTCCCCTGTTCATGCACTGGCCGCGTGATGAGTCTCTTTTCCAGGAGAGTGAATCACTCTCAGTCCCACGAGACACCTGCAGAGACCCTCAGGTGTGAGCCACGTGGTCCTCTCACGACAGGACGGCTCACTTCTCCAGTCAGCGGGGACCTGCCTCCGCCTGGCACAGAGGGGCTGAGGGCACAGTGTGTGCATCAGCAGCCGCTCCTCGGGCCTCTGAGTCTGTGGTCACCGAAACAGAAAACTAACCGGGGCTCTGGCACCTGGAAGTGAGATGCTGCTGTGTAACAGACACCAGAAACTGTGGGCACAGCTTGGGGCAGTGGAAAAGACTGAGGCACGTTACGGTTGGTGGTGGTGCCACGGAGTCGACTTCAATAGTGAGCCCGCACGACAGGGCAGAGCTGATGCCCACAAGGGTTTCTAAAACCCGTCTGGGAGCCGGTCACCAGCTCTTCCTCCAATGGAGTCGCTGGGTGGGATTGAACCCCCAACCTGGCCGTTCACTGCCAAGCACCATCACAGACTGCTGGTAGAAACCTGGATGCCCGGATGAGGGCTCAGCACTGGGAACATGTCATTGGAAAAGGAAGGGAGGGAGACCCTTGTAGCATAGTGGGAGAAAGCTTGGCACAACTCCCTCCTGCTGTCACGTGGAGAGTCAGAGCGCATCGGAGAATATTCTTACCCTTAGGTTGCACATGAAAAACGACATGCTATCAGCGAGGAGTGAGGGTGGCCCCCAGGACTCCCACAATGTAAGAATAGGGGCTGACCCACACCTCCCAGTAAGTTAGGTGGAGGCCAGGAACCCGCTCAGCTACAACAGGTGAGGTGAGAATCTCCTCACACCACCTGGGCCTGTTCTCAAGACCTCAGCAATCATGAGGGCAAAGATCTGCTTCCCACATTGAATGTCAACGACTGATGTTCGCTGTACTTTAAACACTGTGCAGGGCATTCATGAAAACCATCGCTGCTGGGCACCATCAAAGGGTGCACGTGACAGAGTGCAGCTGCCCCTCAGGGCTTTCGGGGCTGCCCTTGTTAAGGGAGCCAAGCACCAGGATGTGCTCCCATGGAGCTGCTGACTGGGTTCAAACCATCAACCCTGCTGTGAGCAGTAAACCGCCTAACCATGATACCACCGGGACCCTTATTCACGAAAACAGAAGCAGGCATGTGAGGTGCCCGCTGTGCCTAGCACCTGTCTGTGGTATTGAGTCCCTGCGGCCCTCCTGTGAGCATGCCAGCGCCGTTTGATTGAGGGAGAAATAAAAGTACGGAGCGATTGAAATGCGTCCCGTTGATCCAGGCCAGGCCAACTGGAGGTGTTTGTGGGCCACGGCTCAGATCAGTGAGTAAGGGGACGGCAGAGGAAGCAAGGCCTTTGAAGGATGGTGTTGGTGAGCGATCGTGAAAGGCCCATGGATGGACAGAGGACAAGCGGATCTGTTTGGGGGGAGGGACGCCCAGAATGCTCTTTAGAAGCCAGACTAACGAGACTTCATCTCGTGTACTTGTGACGTGTCCTTAGGAGAGGCCACGCCTGACCAAGGACATCATGCTTGGTCAGGTGAAAAAGAGGAAGACCCTTAATGAGGTGCACTGGCACGGCGGCTCACACATAACACAGACTGGACGGCACCGGGCCGGCTGTCCTGCTGCTGCGCACGGGCTGCTATGCGATGGGCCTCACGGCACGTGGTGCCCGGTCCCAGCTCCGTCCTCTCGAGGAGGGAAATGCGGTTCAAAAGACAACCCTGGGACACAGGTGGATGTTTTTTTATCAACGGCATCATGTATCTTCATTTCTTATAGCTGATTGGTTGCCAACAATCCATCGTGGTCTCATTCCATCCTTCCTCCCCCTCCCCATAGAAAATGCCCAGAGTTGACCTGGCAGCACTGACGAATCAGCACTGCGGAAGGACGGCAGAGCCACTGCCACACAGAATCTAACAGATGACCGACGGTGACGGACAGACGACACTGTCGTGTGTCAGAAAGATGCGAGCGTGCTTTAAAGTCAGAGTGCCTGCTGCTAGGTGCTGTCTAGCCCATCTCACCTCACAGCCACCGGGGCCCCAGGGGGCTTGCTGGGCCGTCTTCTGATGGGAGCAGATCCCCGGGCTCCTCCCGCAGCGCAGATGCCTGGGTCAGAACTCCCATCTTCGCTGGCCGCTTCAGTCAGCAGGGGTGCCTCACCATTGCCCCGCTAGGGCTCCTTTCAGTCACAGTGGCACCTGCCAAAAGCAATCAGCCGCATCTCGGGAGGCGTGAGGTCAGAAGACCTCGGGCGGTGGTGGCTGACAGTAGCACCAGTCATACTGTTCCCGCAGGACAGGAGCTCTGGTGGGTGCCCTCCGGCTCCCATGAAAAGCAGTAGTCGGCGTTTTTATGACAGCAGCAACACATACACAAACCGTTATTTTTATTAAATTAACGTGAAATAGCCCAGTGGCCTGAACAAATGCATACAACGCTCTCAGTGAGAACAATCTCACGCAACGCCTGAGGTGTGACCAGTTAACGCGGCAGAGTACAGGGCAGGAATGCCCGCCTCTGCCGACAGCTCCGTCCCTGGGGGTCCTCACCCACACCGACATTCAGTCCACGGCTTTCTGTTGGCGGGGCTAAAGGGCCCAGCGGTCAAAACTCACATCTGGGTAGAACAAATATTCTAAGGTTCTAATTCTGTCTATCAAGTTAATAGATTTTACAACTCTACCTGGAAAATCAGGTCTTTTGCAGCAGTTTCGAAGTTTTGTAAATCTGCACGATTCACATTTTCGCTAGACCCCACCTCCCCTTCACAAATTGCACCGCGAGGCCAGGCTCCGGGGCGCCGGGCTCCTCAGGACCCCTCACAGCACGCGCTCCCGGAAGAACCACTTCTGAAGCTTGGAATCCATGCAGTCTCGGAGGAGCGGCATGAAGCTGTCGGTGACCACGTCCCCCTCGGCCTGAACGCATTTCTTGGTCTGGACATGAAACAGGGTGCCATCCTACAAAAGATAACAGGCAGAGTCACCGCGACACACCATGAGGCCCTCCTCGGAAACGTCCGTTTCCTTAAGCGGAGTTCTGCTGAGCTCACGCTGTGGTTCGGGCCTTCTCGTGGTCAAGGATCCGGGGGCTTTGGACCGAGGCAACTTCCCACCCAGCTGTGCAGCCAGAGGACTACGACTGTGCTCCACAGGGTTTTCCAGGGCTGCGTGTTTGGAAGGAAGGGGATTCCAGGCTTGTCGTTCGAGATGCCAATGGGTGGGCTCGAATCTCCAGCAAGCGCATTAACTATCAGCTGCTCCTGGGCTCCGTCCCTACCTCAGGGCCGGAGCACTGAGGCTCCACCTGTCCACACATGTTGATGACCTGCCCCGCGCCCTGAAGCCCCACTTCCTCTACCAGGGGTCTGCATGAGGTCAGCAGCTCAAGGCACAGAAAAGGCTGGAAGGGAAGGGCGAGGCAGGGAGGAAGTTCCCTGAGACTGAGGCTGGATGGAGGCTCTGGGAATCTAACACCTTGGCCAGCTCCGGTGCTCTGCCACCTGAGAGACCTCACAGCGCCCCAGACAGGGCCGCCCAGTCCCCAAGACCTGCTCCCACGACAGAGATGATGTCTGACTTCTCACACGCTTTAAAGTGCCTTGACGGCCAGCAAGGGGCAACGGCACTGCCCACTCACCTCCTGCAAGAGGAACTTCTGGTCCTGGGGAGCCGTGTCCATGCAGAAATCCATGGTGAGCAGATCTGACCCAGAGGTCACAGACACGCAGGCCTCAGGCTGCTGGGCGTTGTAGCGGATCTCATTCTGGGACGTGTATTCGAAGAACTGAGAACAGAGCAGCCACTGAGAAGGGCGGTTATTGGGCGGGGCCTGGGGTCAAGAGAGTGTGGGCACCCCGGCAGTCTCCCCCCACACAAAATCATATTAGAGATCAGGCTTATTGGTTGACTAGAGACTAGAGGGGTCCCTGAGAGCAGGGCCCTTACCCTCAGGCCGGAACTGAACCCCCTGCTCGTGGGAGAGCCATCGATCACTTGAGAGCAAAGGTACAGCCAGGCTGCCCAAGGACTGAGTTCAGAGGGTCAGGAAAGGAGGGGACACTGGAAACCCAGGGAGGGCGTGGGGGACTGGGATCGATGAGCTGACCCAATGTGTGGTCCTGGTTGGATGTGAAACTGGGGCTCTGCTCTGTAAACCTTCACCTCATCTACAACAGTTTTGTACATAGAAATCACAATATAATTTTTATTAATTAATAAAATGAATTTAACAAAAGTAATTTATATAAATAAGCATTGCAATATGAAAGATCAATTACAATCTATTTTTATTAATTAATAAAATTAATTTATATGAATATAAAATATAACTTTTTTTTCAAGATGGGAAGAAGAGATCTTGGGCATAGTGAAGGTGCGCTCAACTCCCCGGTTTGTTTTCTGTTTCTCTGGGGTCCTGTAATATGCATGCAGTTAAAAAAAGCCTGTGGCTTGGCGGCTCATCTCCCTCTTTCAGGCCACGCCGATCACCCCCTGAGCAAAGAGCCTCTCCCAGCCGGAGCTCGGGGCTCCCACCAGGCAGCCTACCTGGTTCTGGCCCCTCCCGTGACAGCGGTACAGAAGCACAAAGTTGCCCAGGATCTGGCTTTCCGAGGGAGGGTTATAGTCGAAGCAGAGCGCTTTCAGCTCTTCGTTCTGCAGCTGCGGTGACGAAAGAAAGGAGAAGGAGGTGAAGGTGACGATATCTTTCATTGAACCCAAGAGGGTCCACATATCACCGCTTCAACGCGTAAACGAATAGAGCTGAGGAGCCCCGGTGGAGCAGCAGGTGAGGGCCTGGCTGCTGAGGTGGGTGGTTTGGACCCACCCAGTGCTGGCTTGCTCCCGTAAGATGACAGCCAAGCCAGCCCTGTGGGGCAGTGCGGTCACACGGGGTGGCTGGGGTGCGGAATGGACCCAGCAACTAGAGAATGTCGTCACCCTGTCGGTCTGCAGGATAAGTTGTTGGCCAGCACAATCCAGAGGCACCGAGCAGCCCGAGCAAACAGCACTCTGCACCAGGGCAGGGCCTGTGAGTGCCGCTGCCCACGAAAGGGGCATGGCTGCCCATGAAAGGGGCGGGGCTGCCCACGAAAGGAGCAGGTCTTCTGGGATGAGCAGTAGGGTACGTCCAAGAGGAGCGTGGCACAATCCGCTAGAAATCGGGGACGTGATAAAGGGTCAAGGGTCACAGAAGCCAAAATGTAGAAGCTCCCATGACCAATTAAGCATTAAAACAAACAGATGGGAAGGGTTTACTGCGGGACTTTACATGGAAAAAAAAAAACAAAAAAACCAGCCCACCTCAAAACAACCCCCCAGACCCAGGTTAGAGTCTTGATGGCACAGACAGAGGGTTGGGCACTGGGCTGCTAACCACAAGGCCGGCTGTTCAAAGCTATCAGCTGCTCCTTGGGACAAAGATTAGGGTGCCTGCTCCCCAAAGAGGCGCGGTCCCAGACACCCTATGAACAGGGTCACGAGGAGTCAGTGTTGACTCAGAGGCGTGTTTGGGAGACGCAAGTTAAGGAGATTCAATCACCAACTTTTCGTCTGAAAATCGGCCAATTAAGAGAATGGCTTACTAATGTGTCCTGTCTTTCCTAAGGAAATTCTAAATTCCGTGGCTCATCAAATTGCCCTAATGAATGAGGGAATGTTCTTCCTCACAAAGGAATCCCAGCTAATGAATGTGGAAGAAGTGAGAGAATTAGAAATAAGTCACCACTTGGCAGCTCTAGTTAATGTAATGAATCTAGGGTGTGATTATCAATGTCTACTAAAAGCCTTATGGGGAAAGCTGGTGGAAAACTTTATAATGGGTGGGGCAGGCTGATGGCTCCTGACTCACCGGTCAGTCTTCATGCCACCAAGGCCCTGACAGGACACAAGAACACACCCAGGAGTTCATCCCTACTCTAATCAAACCTTCCACTTTAAAGGTCTTACTTCCATTTTAAGGAAATATGGAGGAGAGCGGCACAGGTTAAAAGACACGGCAGGAAACAGACACGGAATCCTGAATGTATGTCCCCCTGCAGGACGGTCGATGCCTGCACTCCCACAAGTCCGCATCGCTGCAAAAGCAAGCAGAGAAGGCTGCGTGCTTTAGATGGAAAAAGACACAACATCCGGAGCCCTGGTGGTGTGGTGGGGTACGTGATGGGCTGTTAACCATAAGGTTAACCGTTCAAAACCACCAGCCGCTCTGCAGGAGAACGATGAGGCTTCTACTCCAATAGCACACAAAAGCGATGACCGTGAACTATAACGTGTGTGAGCTGGCGAGATTGCTATTCAAACTAGACAGATAGCAGTAGGCAGAAACTGAGTAAGAGCTAGCTATCTAGGACACCAAGAAATTAATCTCATTGGATTAGGTACGATAATGACTCTGTAATTTTAGAAGAAAGCGTCCGCATTTTACATAGACACCAAAGTGTATGAGAGGGAAACGACATGCTGCCATGGATTTGCCTCAAAAATGAAAAAAAAAAGTGGGAGGGTGGGGTGGCGAATCTCAGGGCCAGGACTCTCGGTACTCACCATCTGCCTCTGTGCGGATTGGAGTACTTTCATAAAGAGAGTGGACTTTAGCGCTTTTGCATTTAGCAAAGCTGTCCAGCATGGACCGCCAGACTGTGGGCCAACAAGATGCTCCAAGCAAAAGCAAGCCATCCTGGTTCCCCTCACCAGGCACGCTGCTTTCCTGTTTCCTGAAAGACTAGACGCCACACTCCTATCTCGACTCTGCCTTGTAGATGCCGAGGTTGGGGAACACTAACGGGGAAAGGCGTGTGATGAGGTGCAGCCCCAAGGAAGCCTTAGTCTCCACAGCCACAAAGAGGAAGGTTTACACTTGACCAAAGACCCAGCAGTCCTGGGAGAAGGAAGGACCGTGGGAGGGGGACGGTGGAAGGTTGGTGGGAGGAGGACTGATGGAAGGAGGAGGGTCGCAGCCCTGAGGAAGGGGGACTTCCTGGCCCAGGATTAGTCACTCAGACCTGGAAGCCAGGCAACTCCCGCCCCCACATCCCGCCTTGCTCACCATCCCAAAAAAGCCAGGTCGGTCTTCTGGCACGTGCAGTTCCGGGAAGATGGTATCCAAGTACCACTTGAAGTCCTTACACTGGAGTTTTTCACGGAGCTGCCTTCTCTCGGTCACGTCCCCATAGGACTCCTGAGAACACAGCACACCGGTGAGACCTGGCAGCGCACACGGGCGCCTCCTCCCAAAGCCCTCCCCTCACCCATGCTCAGCCGTGCATTCACTCGACAGGCACTTACAAAGCACAGTGCGTGAAGTAAGGTCAACGGTATCACCACTCTCCCCGGGTGACAGTAAGACAAGCAACCACACTGCGGGGTGCTTTCTCTACAGAGGTGTGTGAGGGGCGAGGACATCGCACCTGCATTGGGGTCAGGGAGCCAAGGCCTGGGCAGTCTGCGTCCCCTGGATCTGCGTGTCATCAGTGAGCATGTGAGCATCTGACCCCCCACCAGCAAAACCTCAGCTCAGGTGCTGTACTATGTAGATCTGAGCATTCACTCTCAAACACAGGCAAGCAGCAAGCATTCCAGATGGAAGCCTGAGTGAAAAACCTTCACTGCTCCATATACTGAAATACGAGGGGGCACCCCCCCAAAAAACACACACACACAAAAAGCGCAGCTGGGTGGAGTTTTCATCGTACACCTTTTTCCCGCTAGTCGAGCACCAAGTAACTCACTCTGAGTTAGTGTGCCCAGTGGCATCACCTAGGAAGGTTCTCTCTGGTCACATTGACTTTTTTCATAAAAGCCGTTTCACTCAAACTTTTTTTTTATGATGGCCGATTTAAGAGAACAGTGTGAGGCTGAGAAACTTTGTTTCCTACTTGGGAAAGCTGCTGCAGAAACTATTGATGGTGAACACAGCTTACAAGGACAGGGCTATGGGAAAAACTCAAGTGTATGAACGGTTTTCTCATTTCAAAAAAGGTGAAGTGTGGATGGATGAGAAACCTCGTTCTGGATGTCCCAAGTTCCCCAATGTATGAAAATGCCGACTCAGCGCATTTGGGGTTCGTTCCACCAGGTCAGACTGTTAATCAAGCTTTCTATTTAGAGGCCCTGAAAAGATTGCATAACAGTGTGGGACCAAAAAGGCCTGGTTTGTGGCAGACAGGGGACTGGTTTGGCCACCACCACAATGCACCTGCTCACGCAGCCATCTCAGTGTGCCAGTTTTGGGCATAACACAGCATGCCTCTCTTTGCCCACGCACATTACTTGCCTGACCTTGCTCCGTGCAAGTTCTTTTTGTTTTCCCGAATGAAGAGGGGCATGAAAGGACATCGATTTGATGACGCAGAAGAGATGAAGATAAAAATGAGGGAGGTGCTGCAAGCCATCCAAACCGACGAGTTTGAAAAATGTTTCCAAGAATGGACTCACAGATTTGACAAATGTATTAAGTGTAATGGAGAGTTATTTGAAGGTGATAAGGGTGTTTTGTTAGAAAAATTTAAATACATAGCTTCAGGGAAAAAAATTCTGAGTTTTTTTGGGGGTACCCCCTCACTTAGGAGGAATGAGCAAAATGCTGCAACAATACATACGTGTGGACGCTGCGTTTTCTGGACAAAACAAGAAGGAAGGGCTTTCAAGCAATTAAGTGAAGCTATATTTAGTACAGTCAATGGACAGCCACAAGATCGTATGAACTGTCCCTACCCTGTGCTATTCTATTGTATTTGAGAGGTTCAATGCCTAATGAAATGGCAATGATAATGAACAACCTCAATAAAATTCCCTGCTTCTCCTACTTCCTAGGGGTCCTTCCTGTGATGAGTCATTACCCCCTCAGCTTTCATCACAGTTGGATTTCAACACTTGGTCCTTGGCAACCATGCAAAAGGTAGGTGAAGGGGTTTCAAGAAATTCATGGGGGGATCCCATTATCTTCTCATTTCCTTTTCCCACAAGTATGTTGAATTCTCCCTCATATCTGGTGACCCCCCACCATATTATATTTGGGGAATCACAGAAACAGGGAGCTGAGGGGTTCGGAACAGATGGCAGAGAAGAGCAGGCGTGGATACCCTGGTTCCTTGGGCACAATGGAGGACGCTGAGGGATACCCCTGGGGCCCCAGGGAGCAGGGTCAGGTTGAGACTCTCAGGTTCTGCGGGGCAGCACGAGAGGCACACAGAGTGGACCCGCTGAGAGGACCCACTGAGGGGCAGCACGAGAGGCACACAGAGTGGACACGCTGAGAGGACCCGCTGAGACTGAGTCCTACCTACACCAGCCAAGGGGCTTCTCAAGCCCATTCTTCAACACTCCCTCCCCAAGTCTTGATCTTCTCCTCCGTGGAGTTCTCTAGCTACTCTGTAAGGCTCCAGAGTAGGGATTCAGGAGGGATTTCCATCAAGAGGCCTTGGAGCAGACATTCTAGTCTTGCCCTCTATTTACACAAATACAGGGGGAGTGAGCTCGCGTCCCATGGACAGGCTGCCACAGCGCCCCTGGCAGGCAGAGCTGGTCTCTGCAGGGACAGCGGATTGCTTGGCATCAGAAGCCCGTGCCTTCTGGGGGAAAAGAGGTAGGGTCACTCCACAGTGTTCCCCGCCCCCACCTCCCCCCACTGCCCGGACAGGGGTAGAACAAGGCTCTAGGGTGGAGAAGAGCAACTAGTCCTGGACAGAAGGGGCCTGCAGACGGACAGAGCAGGGCCTGATGACCCTCCCCATGGGCAAGAACTGGTCTCAGCACAGCAGCAACCAAGGCAACCGCATAGAGGGCACACTGCACAGCTAAAGGCACAGCACCCTGGGGACAACCCTGGACACACCTCGTCCACCACTCAGTCAGACAGGCTGGGCAAGGTTCACCCTTGTGAGTGGGAGGCTGACCTTCTACAACGTGTGCGGAGCAACGGCAGAGCTGGAAAGGCCACTGGCCAGTTATCTGTCTGGAATGGAGGCAGCACGGAGACCCCCGTTTGGAAGAGGAAGCCTGCAGGTGGGCGGACTGTTCCAGGGGGCCTGAGAGAGGCCACAGGGGAGAAATACCCAACTTACAGCTAGAATGGCAGGTGGGCCTGACACAGGGGCCTAGGCAGCCAGTGGCCAGCTCTGTTGCTTTATTATTATTAATGGAATAAACTTTCCCAGACTTTTATCATGAATGTCCATTGTGTCTCTATTCTGGAAAGAGATCAACTACAGCGGGAGGGCAGAAATCAGAGCTTTGGTTCGCGGGAAGCCATGTGGGCTGTGAGAATGCAGCCAGACCCAGGTGGGCCGGGGAACTCACCAGGCGGGCTGCAGGGTTGCGATGGTAGTAGAGCTCTTTATACCCATCCATCCAGACTTCGGCTGCACGGACAGTGTTGGCCAGAGCCTTGTTGCGGGAGTAGGGGGCATTCTTGGGGAAAACGTGGCCCACATGAGAACAAGGGTGTGTCTCCAGGGTCCCCCCGCACTGCCAGATCTGCACACAGAGGAGAGGAGAGGAAGGGAGGGGCTGGACTGAGCAGCAGGGCGTGGGCTGCAATGAGGACCGTGTGGGCGCATGGACAGTTCGGGCAACACTGCCAGCACATGAACATTCCTCAGGTTGGAGGCCACTGACGCCACACGTGCACGGCACGGCATGCAGGGAAAACCCAAGAGAACTGCCAAGACACCGAGGCCGTCGGACCCAGTGCCCCAAGCCCATGCACTGCACAGCCCATGCACGCTGATCACAGCGGCCCGCGGGCCCAGAACCCACCCCTCGTTACCTGGTCTCCTAGCCGGGGAGGGAGGAAAGCACAAGGAAGAAGAGAGGTTTGGAAGGGGGAGAAGAGCTTCTAGAGGCAGACAGAGCAGCCTGACACCTAGGGAAGAGGCAGAAAGACCATTAAAAGCACACCCCAAAACCCAGCAGGTGGGGGCAACAGGGCTGTCTCATGCTGGGGCCAACAGCCATGAGCACCTCAGTGTCCCAGAGATGCGAGCCTAAATCTAGCCTCTGGGACTTAACGTGGGCAACTCGAGTCCTGCGCACGGGGGAGAGGGGGGGAGACACGGACGGACACCAAATTCCTCTCTGCCAACGTTTTATGAAGGCAGGAAACCACACCAAATATTTGGAAATTTAATTTTTGATTGAAAAGCATGATCGCTTACATATGGTTTTGAGATTTATTCTGCTAACTGGAAACCCCCCTGAAATGCTGACAGCCTTGTTCCACAGCAGCAGCAGCAGCAGCAGCAGGTAGCTTGTGACAAAAAGTAGATTCCTGTGCCATGGCCGTATCTCTCTGAGGTAGTTTATTGTGCCAACCTGGCCAATAAACACATGTGGGGCTAATTGAAGGGTGGAGAGATAAATGGCTCCGTGAGCCTTGCCTTTCTAGTTCTCAGGTCTCTTGCTTTCTGACGGTCGGACCAGGGTGCAGCTGCCTTAGCCAGTTCCCTGCTTTAGCTGGCAAGACATCCCTGAGGAGAAGCCGCATGGACCTACCCCGATGCAGCCCTGGGTGCCAGAGCAGCCGTGTGGAGACCCCTACCAGCACTGAGATGCTTACACATTCACTGACTCGGCTTTCCTCCTGCAGTCGGCGTCATTGTGTGTGTTTTGTGAGATGGAGGAGGACTTTGTGGACTGGTGTTGGACATATGGATTAATGTTGGACTTGTGGGCTTGGGCAGCACTAGGTTGAGATGTTTGCTTGATGCGCACTTAACCTTTATATAAAACTCTCTCTTATACATGAGTTTCTGTGGATTTGTTTCTTTAAAGTACCCAGACTAACACAGTATCCAAGCTGGCTCTCTGGAGCTCGCCCCTGCAAGTCTGTCTCCTTAGCACACTTCCCCAAACATTCTCAGGGGTGTCAGAGTCTGGAAGGCGTTGTGCTAAAGAAGCAGGCTAACCGAAAGGAGGAATCAAGTGACGGCCCCAGAAGACAGGCTCAGAGGGCAGGAACCTGTGTCCTAACTCAGTCTCTGCCACCAAGGCACTGTGCGACCCCGGCCGGTGGCTCACCCGCTCTGAGCCTCAGTTCCTCCCCTCTGCAGAAAGAGAAAACAAGGTAACTCCCAACGCCCTTACCAGCTCCAGTTTCAATAAATCATATTGTTGTAAAAGCCAGTGTAAGACAAGCATTGTACCAATACGCGGGTGTAGCATGATCAGCTCTCAGAATCACTGGATAAACTGCCACAATGCAGGAAAGTCCAGCGCCCATCACAGCACATCCGTGTGTGTGTGTGTGTGTGTGTGTGTGTGTGTGTGTGTGTGTGTGTGAGAGAGAGAGAGAGAGAGAGAGAAGTGGGGGAGAGGAGAGAGGAGAAATGACAGATTGAGAAGGAGTGCATAACAAGACCAGGATACTTACCCTGAAGGAGAACTCGAGGTTTTCGCCTCCCCAAACTTCCATGCCTGTGTCATAAGAGCCCAGATATTCAAAATATCTCTTACTCACAGCAAACAGCCCGCCAGCCATTGTTGGAGACCTAGAGGAGAATAAGGGGCAGATTTCCAGCTGCAAACACCATCACAGCCGGCTGCCCTGGAGGCCTGCCACAAGATCTCTGCTCCACTCAGCCACCTCTAATCGGGCCCTGACTGCCGACCCTGTGCCAGGCACCACGCGGAAGCGGGGGGCACAGAAGTGTCCCCACCGTCCCTGTCCTGTCCTGAAGCGGCTCAGACACCTCGCAGGCAATCACAGAGCAAGAACACGGTACCTTGGAGCCTGTGGGAACACAGAGCGAGCAGGGGGCAGGGAGAGGAGGGCAAAGGTTCTGGAGAAGCTGGGGTCTGGAGGGCCAAGGGAAGCCAGTCAAGAGGAGAAGTGGAAACAGAAGGCAGATCCGCATGAGCAAGGGCTGTGGGGGAAAGAAACCCTTTCGCTCTCAGAAGCAGAGACGATGGGAAGAGAAAGAGAGGCCACATTCCCCCAGAGCAAGGCCAACGTCTGGCGATGGAGGTTATAGCCACACCCAGAAACCCTGATTTCTTAGGCAAGCACTGTTGGAAGAGGTTGATGGGACCCCTGAAAGACTGCGGCCCTTAATCATCCTTTAGGTCTAGAAATGAGCTCACCCTATGGCTTAGTTTTCTGCCAAACAGGCAGGTCTATAAGGGAAACCCTAATACGAGGGAGGTGGCAGTCTTTGGCATAGCACTGGTAGTGTAGGGAGCTACCCACTGAGCTGCTACCCACAAGGTCAGTGGTTTGAATCCACCAGCAGCTCTGTAGGACAAAGACGAGGCTGTCGACTCTTACAAAGATCTAAAGTCTCAGAAACCCGTGGGGCCGGTTCTACTCTGCTCCATAGGGCTGCTGTGCATGAGAGTGGACTCAACGGCAGTGGGTTGAATTGAACCACCAACCATTTGAGATCAAAGGGGCAGCATCTACCCAAGGGCAAATCCAGCAGATTCAGAAAAGGAGGAGGAAGGAAAACGTATTTTCCCACGTGTCCATCCTTACACTCGGAAAGTAGGCCGGGTGGACACGAGCAGACATATTTCTCAGACGAGGGCACGAGGCCCAGAGACACTGTTGGAGAGGAAGAACCATTGGCCACAAAGTTGTTGAGGGTGTGTATGGCAGGAAGAGGGGGCATGGCAGGCTGGACTGGTGACCCTGTACAAGATCCTTCCTACGCCGTGGCCCAGGCTCCACATCTGTCTAGGGAGGGTGGATGGAATGCGCTCTATGTGATCTCCCAACAGCCACCGTCATGCCCCATTCTTCCCACCCAGCAATCCACCACTTCCCTCCATCCTCTCCGCCACCTGGTCCAAGCCACCGACATTTCTGACCTGGAAGACTGCAGAGTGGCCCTCTGGGGCCCGTGCCCACAACTTGACTTCTTCCAAGACACACATTTGGCATCTAGCGTAAGCCAGCACAGCTCCGATCCTCTCACTGACTCCCACCCTCTCAGGGGAAGCTCCCAAGCCCTCCTGCCTACCTTCAGTTCCCTCCTCCCACGGCTTGGCCCTGCTCATCACTGTAGTTTCCTATCTCTGCCACTGGCCATGGCCATCACTGTAGCTTCTTGTATCTACCACTGGCCAACAGGGCATCAGCTCAACGCCAGGACTCATGGAGGAATTCGGAGCCCATTGGCAGACAATAGATGCAGAACTAAGCCGGCATCTCTGTTTCTCTACACCGGCTGTGAGGCTAAAGCCCTGACCTCTGCCTGCCCGACTCCTCCCGTCTCCCAGTTGAACCTGAACTTGGAAGAGGAGGAATAGGAAAGAACATTACGTCACCACTCAGGGATGAGAGTAACAGGTCCCCTTCAGCCCTCTGCTCAGACTCACCCACCAAGTGCAAAGGGCCTAAGGGCTACCGTCTTCTGAAGGCCGTCACTGGCAGCTAAGCCAGATGCCAGGAGGCACGCTCAAGGTCACCGAGAAGTTTCCCCTGACCTGATGACATCAATGGGGGACTTCATCCGTATCCTCTCCCTCTCGGGGACCGTGTGCCATGTGAACACCAGCCTCCAGTCGAAGCCGCCGATCTGGGGCTCCCCGGCATTCCCCAGGTACTCGAAGGTGTCCCAGTCGATCACGTCAATCACGGGACACACCACCGCCGACGGCTCGCTGTGGATCCTGCAAGCACCAAGGCAGCCTATCTTTCTGGGCCACTGGAAGGGAGAAGACCTCGCTGCAAGGCACCCACTTCTCCTGTCCCGGGTGTCTGCTCCCGGCAAATGACTGGCAGTCTGGGGGACATGGGGAGCACTGGGCAGAGGAGGGCACGCTGGCCTCCGCCTGAGGTCTCAGGGCTCTACACGCCTGAGTCTCTCCGAAGGTGAAAGGCTTAGACAACGAGAAAACTCAGAAGGCAAACTCACTGCCATCAAGCCGATTCCAACTCATTAAAACCCTATGGGGCAGAGCAGATCTGCCCTGGGAGTTTGAGACTGCACATCTTCACCGGATGAGCAGAGAGCCTCATCTGTCTCCCTTGGAGCATCTGGTGACTTTCGAACTGCTGACCTCGTGGTTTTCAGTCCAACAGGAAATCCACTACCCCACCAGAGCTCCTTATAGAAGTCCACATGCCTTTTAAAACAGAAAGCAGGCCTTCAATGTCTCAGGACTGAGTTATCTACTCGCACAGTGGCACATCTTAGCATCAAGAAGCAATGACTCCAATGCCCAGGGACCCGAGGGTCAGCTTTGGCGTTAGCTTACAGGTCCTACTGCTGTCCCTTCTTGGCCATGGGACACTAGGCAAGTCACCACTGGTTGTATTTGAAGGAAATACACCACACGGGACATTCTCTAGGGGTGTGATTCTGTGCGGCTGTGATGTTTCTTGGCTGATGACGATGTCTAAGTCCTTGACAATAAACATGTCTTAACATGGAAAGAGCCCTGGTCATGGTCACGCATTGGGCTGCTTTCCGAAAGGTCAGCAGTTCGAAACCACCAGTCACGTCTCAGGAGATGGATGAGGCTGTCTACTCCCTTAACGAGTGACAGCCCCCGAAACCCACTGGGGCAGTTTCACCCTGTCCTGCAGCAGGGTCGCCGTGGGTTCAAATCAATTCGCTGGCCGTGAGTGTGGAGCTTTGGGGGCATCTAACAGTACGAGAGCAAACACTCCCGTGTGCTCGTGTATCCTGAGCACTTTACAGTACATCGTCTCTGGTCTAGCTAATGCAGTGACCACCCCCACCCTCGCCCCCGGTGGGTGGCAGCACACGCACCTCTCCAGCAGAGGCTCCAGCCAGCCTTCGTGGCACTCACAGTGACAGTCTAGGAAGGTCAGCACATCGCCCCTGGCCGTGGACGCCCCCAGCAGCCGGGCTCGCACCAGGCCTTCCCGCTTGTTCGCGCGGATCAGGCGCACCTTCGGCAGGCGGGACAGCTCCGTGGCCAGGGGCTCCTTCAGGTGCTCTGGGGAAACAAGCCGAACAACAAGAATCACCATGACACCTGAGCAGACCCCCTCGTCCCAAACCTGGAAAGAAGACTAAATAGGCACCAGCCTTCTTTTCTCTGAAATCTCTGATGGTGCTCACAGAGAGATGCTCACGGAAAGGTTGGCGGTTCCAATCCACCCAGAGACACCTTATAAGAAAGGCCTGGTGATCTTCACACAGAGGGACCAGCACCCTCCACTGAGCCCAAGCTGACACTGCAAAAAGGGTGAGAGGAGAGCTGGGCTCCCTCTATCATAGGGTAAGGGGGGCGTCTCACCTGCCTCTATACCAGCAGAACGGGGCCAAAACACCCGGCGGGCTGGATAAATGTCCTCGGCGGGCCACATGTGGCCCGCGGGCTGTGGTTTGAGGACCGCTGGTATAGAAGCAGGTGTAACATGTCCAGAGAAACAACTCAACTCTGGGCACTTCTTACTGGGATTACAACTTGTTAACTTCCTTATTAAACCCTTTGATCATGAATCTTGTCTGCGGGTGGGTCCTGCGTAGCCAGGGAGTTGGGTAGGAGAACCCTAGAGAGACGCAGAACACTGAGCCTGCACCACAGGCGTCTGGGGTGCCGTCAGACTGGTAGAAGCATGGCGGTTTTAGAAGACGGATCTCAAAAGGCATGGGAAGTAGAACATTTGATTCCCAGCACGGCTACGTTGGTTACTGTTCCTTGTAATGGATGAAAGGAATGACATGCTGCAGCTGAGAAGAAACCCGCTGCTTCTGGAGTGGCCTAGGGAAGAGCCTGGCTGGTGAGGAGTAACAGGAGGTCAGCGCCTTCTGAGCCGGCCTGCCAGTCTCCCGGTCATACGGACACAAATAGATACAGCCCGTGGGTGGAGAAGAGATCATTGTCTTTAGGCATCATTTTTAAAGTTCAAGGCTTGTGTGTTTACTTAGCTGCACTGAAACCCAATATTTTCCAACTTGTTATTGTGATACGGGCCATCAATCATGATTACAGGAGCTTGTAAGTCCGCCTTCAGCCGATATTTGTTTGGGTTTTTTTAAAATCTTTTTATTGGGGGCTCTACAGCTCTTACATCCATCCATCCATTGTGTCAAGGACATTTGTACATTTGCTGCCATCATCATTTTCAAAACATTTTCTTTCTACTTGAGCCCTTGGTATTGGTTCCTCATTTTCTTTCCCTCCCTCCAGAGCCCTCCCTCCCTTGTGAACCCTGATAATTTTTTTTTTCATGTCTTACACTAACAGGATGTCTCCCTTCACCCACTTTTCTGTTGTCCATCCCCCTGGGAGGGGATTATACGTAGATCATTGTGATCGGTTGCCCCTCTCTCCTCCCACTTTCCCCTTACCCTCCTGGTATCACTACTCTCATTATTGGTCCTGAGGGGTTTATCTGTCCTGGATTCCCTGTGTTTCCAGCTCTTATCTGTACCCCTGTACATGCTCTGGTCTAGCCAGCTTTGTAAGGTAGAACTGGGGTCAGGATAGTGGAGGGGAGGAACCATTAAAGAACTAGAGGAAAGTTGTATGTTTCATTGGTGCTATACTGCACCCTGGCTGGCTTGTCTCTTCCTAGTGACCCTTTTGTGAGGGGGTGTCCAATTGTCTACAGATGGACTTCGGGTCTCCACTCCACACTCCCCCTCATTCACAACGATATAATTTTTTGTTCTGGGTCTTTGATGCTTGATCCCATCGACACTTCATGATCACACAGGCTGGTGTGCTTCTTCCATGTGGGCTTTGTTACTTCTCAGCTAAATGGCCGCTTGTCTTATCTTCAAGCTTTTAAGACCCCAAACGCTATCTCTTGATAGCCGGACACCATCAGCTTTTTTCACCACATTTGCTTATGCACCCATTTTGTCTCCAGCAATCATATCAGGAAGCTCATCATCATGGAATGCCAGGTTATTAGAACAAAGTTTTCCTGCGTTAAGGGAGGACTTGTTTGTCTGCTACCTTAATACTTAACCTATTTCTCCATCGTCATATATCAATATATTTATGAATGTACATGTCTGTATTTAGACCTCTATAAATGCCCATTTGCCTCCTTATTCTCTCTTCTATTTCCTTTTACTTTCCTCTTGTCCCACTATCATGTTCGGCCTTGATTCGAGTTTCATTAATTCCTCTTGTTTACACAGCCCTTGATCAAGCCCTACAGGCATCCTATGCCCTCCTCACCATCCATTTTATTATTTCCTAGTCGCTGGGTTTGTTGACACCCACTTCTTTTCCCCTGCCTCCCCCTCTCCTGTGTTCCCCACTCACCCACCCCCTGGAACCGTTGGTCCCGTTGTTTTCTCCTCCAGATCATTTGATTCGCTATGCTAAAGGGGAGTAAAGAATTGCCTGAAAAGAAAAAGCTTTGGGGGCCAGGAGGCAGTGGGGGAATTGAGGAGCTGATATCAAGCAGAAAGCAAATGTTTTGAGAATGATGAGGGCAAAAAATGTACAAATATGGTTGACACAATGGATGGATGTATGGATTGTGATAAGAATTGTGCGATCCCCCAATAAAATTACTTAAAAAAGAGAAAGACAAAGCTTTTTGTTTGAAGCCAAGGGACTTAGAAAGAAAACCTGAGCCCCACTCAGAACCGCTGACAGAACAGGAGTTTTACGTTTGAAGGGGGGAACTGCAGGGAAAAACCCTGTTTACCGTTTGAGCATTTTGAGCAAGCAGTTTGCCAGGGAAGGCATCAGAGCAGGAACCGTGCTGTGCCCAGAAGGAAGACTGAACATTAGAGGGAGCCATGAGGTCCCGGCGCTCATTGTGGTTCCACCTGGGTCAGTAGACTGAGTGGGAACCAGACCAAATCCACTGCCCTTCTCAATGCCAACCCATAGCCACCCTGTGGGACAGCAGAACTGACCCTGTGGGCTTCCAGGCTGCTACGCTCCGCATCACACCCGAGCCTGGCTCAACAAGCTGCCACAGACATGTCTGCTTATCCCCTAGAGCCCCCACTCCCCCAGACAATGAGCTGTCCCAGCCTCTCTTGTAGCCAGGGTGCCCTTGCAACCAAGGTCCACTCAAAGGGTCCTACGGAACCTTGCAGGTAGTGTCTTGAAATGGAAAGGCCCTCGTCTGCTTTAAACTGTTCCCACTGACCCAGGTAAGCAGCAGGTGGAGACCAGCCTAAACCACACAGACTCAGGTAGCAACCATCCTAGAAAAGGCAGAGCAACAAGCTGGGGCACCCAGACACCACCAAGCCCTCACTCTAGCCTGGACCACTGACACTAGATGTGTGACGTGAGAGAGAGATCAGTGTTTTGAGTCTCTGTGAGGCTAGCCAGACACATAGACTGAAACCCGCTGCCCTTAGTGGACTGACTCACAGCGTCCCCTGTGGGTCAGGGTAGAAACTGCTCCATAGGGTTTTCAGCGGCTGTGGTTTTTTGTTTGTTTGTTTTTAGAAGCAGATCACCAGGCCTTTCCTCCAAGGCGCCTCCAGGTGGACACGAGCCTCCAACGCTTCGCATGGCGGTGCTCACTTTTCGTGGCACCAGAGACGCCACACACCAACAAGGGCACATCCGGGCTGGGTTTTGCAGTCAGACAGCAGGCTCGGTGCTGAGACAGCAGATGCCTAGCAAGCAGGAGCTGCTCCCTCCTGGGTGGCCCAGGAGTTGTAATTTGGTTTGCAACAATCTCTAGCAACGAAGAAAGACCCCGCTCCACCTGTGATTACAGCCCAGACATTTCCCCTCGGGTCGGCATAGCTGCCCTTCAGAGCCAGTCGCGCGAGATTGGCTGGCTCATTGCCTGCTATCCCGGGCCCACGGTGAGCGCCCATCCAAGCCAAGTTCGAGGGCCTGGTGGCGCAGCCCTGCTCACCTCGCCCTGACATTGTCCACACAGCAGGAGAGTGGCTCTTCAGGCACCTGACTGTTCTCCCACCCTCAGATGTCCCCCCACGGCTCCTATCAGGAAGCTCAACCCCTCCTGCAGCCTCTGAGGCCCTACTCGATGGGCCCTGCCTCTCCGGTAACATCTTTCTCCTCCAGCACCGCCCACAGGTGTGCTCTCCACCTTCCAGCACCTGTACTTGCCACTCCCTGGCCTGATGCGGTGGGGTGGGTCTCCCCGTGGCAGCCGCCTAGCAAGCGTAAAGTGACTAGTTTCAGAGAAGCCTTTCTGACTTTCACCATCTACAGGAGGCCCTGTCTCCAAGGTCCACCCCTGGCTCCCCACTGCCGTGGTCTTCCACAGCACTTCTTTCTACTGTTGAAAAATAGCAATATAATACAACAAACAGAACAGAAGAGAGGACAGCACACACACACACACACACACACACACACACACACACACACACACACACTCACTCACTCCCCTTCACCTGGACACCCAGGCCAGGAGGCTGGAGTCCCCCTCTCACCTCCCTCTCGCTCGCTCGCCCCCTCACACACTCTGCCAGTCTGCAACAGCCCTCCAGTCCCTCCCTCTGCCTCCCTCCTCAGCCACCACCGGACTCCAAGCCCACCTCCCACCTGGGCCGCCTTGATATAGGCCCTCTGCTCCCCAGCGAGCTCCCCTAAACCCCCATTCTCCACATGCCAACCCAGGGGCCCCTCTGAAGGCCCAAACTGCCTTCCTGTTGATCCCCCTGCCCTCATAATAATGCAGTCCAAACTCTTCCAGCCAAGGCCAGAGACCCGCCCCTCTGCACCCATCTCCCCTCATCTTGCCCACTCCCTGGACACAGCTGACCCTCTGGCCTTCCTGAGCGACTTGCAGATCCAAACAACAACCTTTCCACGTGTGAGGCCCTCTCTCTGAGAAGCCCTCTCCACCTCCCCTGCCATCTGGGAGATTCAGGCCACCCACCTCTGTGAAGTCTTCCTGGTCAAGGGGAGGCCGTCCCTCTGCTGATCCCCAAAGCATTGTGCAGTGAGCCCTCAGGCATTACACCTGCTCCCCAGCACCAGGCCCTGAGCCCCACCACTGCTGGGTGCAGAGGACATGGGAAGCCCATCTGGTCCAGGCCTCTTCTATCCACCTGGTCACCGGGCCCATGGTCACTGCCACGGAGTAAGGCCCTCTTCCCCACCAGGGACTGACCTCTGTCACTGTAGTCATCGACGAGGATGACTTCCTCCAGAAGGCTGTCTGGCGATGTCTCGAGCACACTATAGACCGTCCGAAGGAGAGTGGACCAGGCTTCATTATAAAACGCGATGACCACAGATGTTCTTGGGAAATTCTCGTAGTCGTACTTCTTCTCCATGCACCTGCGAACACAACACAGCCTCAGGGATCAGGACCACAGGCTCCAGCCCAGGATGGGGCTGGGGAGGGAGTGAGGAGCACGGCAATGGCTGTGGCCTCAAGGTTGCCCCTGGGGAACTAGACATAATCTGCCCAAGACCTTGCTGAGCCCCCAGAAACACCTGGAGCACCCGCCGCCGTCTCTAGGAAAGGTTCTACCCATGATGTTCAACCTGCTCCGACCACACACACAGCAGTCAGGAGGGAGGGAGCTGTCCGGCCAGTCCTTCCAGCAGTTCCTCTGACTGTGCCTGCCTTGCCCAGCCCACTCCGGGCCTCCCTGGCCTGGGGCTCAGCCGAGAACAACTCAACTGGCCCAGTTCTCCTCTGCCAGCACCACTTCCCTGTGCCCCCGAGTCAGGTAGCTGCTTGCTCCTCAGGGTTGCATGTCCCAGCCACACCTCTCATGCAGCATGTGTGGCTCACATCACCCCAGTTACTTCCGGTCCCTCTAACGTCATGGAGTCTACAGTCTACGCTTAACCAGGGTGGCGTGCTGCGAGAATGCACCAGCCTTGAATGCATGAGCATCCCCAGGATGCTGCAGAATACAGGAATGCCCCAGTACCCACGCCACCTGCCTCCCTTCTAAGGCAGTCACCTGAGGGGGTGTGGTGGCCGCACCCCAGCTCCACAGTGGGCCTGACTGGCAGTGACAGGGACCCCTCCATTTAGTCTGGTTTGCTGTTACTTTGAACTGACAGTTCCTTGGTTGACACAGAAGCCCATCCTCAGAAGAAGCAGTGGTGAACTCAAGGTCACAGGACTATTGGTGGCACCTGGACACCACCAACAGCTCTCATTTCTGGATGTGGCTGACAGCAATGGGTTGGGGAGGACAGAGACCCAGTTCGCAGAAGACCATGGATGGCAGTGAAAGCCTAAAGCCCATTTGCGGGGTCCCCCATGTAGATTAAGCCTCCAGTGAAGCCCCTGTGACTCTGCGGCAGGGATGGGAATGACCTTGTTATCACACCGGGTGAATGATGGGGTGGATTGCTGCCATTGTCATTAGGTTACAGGTGGGGAAGAAAGCGAATGGTGCCTGGCTATCAGAAAGAAGATTGTCTGACGTCTGAAAGGCTCCTCTTGGAACAAGCAGCCATCTAAATGAGGCTTCCCCTTCTCATTTGATCTCCCGTGCGATCCAATGATCAAGCCGAATGCCTTTAGGGATCGTTGTAAAGGAAGAAGCAGAAAGATAGCAGGCCAAGAAAAAAACCAAAACTTTGTTCCGGTTTTTAATATGTTCTGCTTTCTTTTCTCTTGAGGTTTTTCTCCGTTCTGTCATTGTTGGTTTGTTTTGATTTTATATGTTTTCCTGTCTATGAAATCCAGGATAGGTGCATCTACAGAGACAGAAACTGGATGAATAGTTTCCTGGGGGCATGGCAAGGGAGATTGGTGGGTAATGGGGAGCGAACCACCATGAGTACCAGAAGGAATGTCCTACAATTGTTTGTGGTAATGACTACACAACTCTTTTGAACAGGACTAACTACTGCAATGTGTGATATGTGACTTACATGTAAATAAAACTGTCAGAGAGAGCGGGCACAGAGCTGTGAACAACTCCGAGTCGATTCTATCCACGATGTGTGTGTACATGCGGTCACACGAACAATAAACAATGTGGGGGAGGGAATATGCCAAAAGCACAAACAATGGTTACTTCTGAAAAGTGGAATGGCCAATGACTTTCATTTACTTCCTTCCATTTTTTTGCATTTTAAACATGCTCTACCACAGACACTCGTGACTTCTGCCATTACAAAGAAAGTACTTGTATGTAGCTGGATCCTATGTCTTGAGCTCCCATAACAAATGACTTCATGGGGCAGGCATGTCATCTTATGCCCTCGCCTTTTGTCTTGGCCTGCTGTTTCTGCTGCTTGCTTTAAAAGGACCCCGAGAGGCAGCCAGCCTCGTAGGAAGTTCACTATGTTCTAGAACGCCTCTCAACAGTGATCTTTAAGGTGCTTCTAGGAAGAGAACAACCCTTTCTCAGTGTCCTGACAATAAAAAGCTGTAAATCCTTTGATTAGACAGAAATCACTGTATGGCTTTTGACTTGGGGACAAAAGGAAGCGCTGAGCCAAGTTTCATGGCAATCGGAGTAAGAACCTCATTTCCTAAGGGTCTGGGGATAGTCCATGTGCTCTGTGAGGACATGGGCTGAGCCCTACTTGGATTACCGGGATGCCTTGTTATAGCCTCACAGCAGCACGGGCTGGTTGTTGACGGCAGGTAAGGTACCGGGTGAAGCATTCTCATAAGCACTATACCCATTATCCCTCAGAATGACTTAATTGGGTCAGAACTACAGTAAGATCCGATGGCATACTATGAGAGGGTTCCAAGAAGGTTGGGGGGAAATGGAATTAAAAGGTAAAAGGTAATGGAATTTTTCCACAAACTTTTTCGAGCCCCAAAAATATGTGGTGAGGATGAATGGATGCAGTAAATGTCTTATGATCTTTTATCTTCATAGTGAAGCCATCACATAAAAAACCTTTTAAAAATAAAATTAACACTCATATCCTTTGTGGAACAGGCCAGGAAGATTATAATGCACAGTGGTGGGTTTCAATTGTCTAAACCCTTTTCTTTCTCCTTCACATTATTGGACCTTTACTTCTTTTTCAGGAACCACGCTTCCCCCTCAGTTTACGTGGTTTGAGTAGGGTGAACACACACACACACACACACACACACACACTCATACTCACACTCTGGGCGGTCACATGCCTGGCAAATCAATATTTTGCTGACAATGTCATTTGAGTCCCAAGATCCAGAACTCAGAACTGGAACTCAGTTCTCACCCTGGACTTTACTACCATAGAAGTCACATACTCCCTCTATGTTTCAGTCCATCTGTGTTGTTTTGGATCACTTGTAACCAAAAGAATCCTAACACACACACACACACACACACACACACACACACAGTACTTCTTTGATCTAACTTTTCAATGTGAATTGGGTAAACGTTTCTAGAACAGATCAGTTGTCCATTTACCAACTCATACACATTTTTGTTTCATGCCACTGATTGCAATCCCCACAATGTAACATCACTCACCCCACTTCCTCCCTGGATTTCCCATTCCTATTCCTTCCTTATCCCCTCTGAACTTGGTCCCTGGGTCTTTTTACATCCATATGGTTGGTTATTCTACGGTGTGCCTCCCTAGTGTTGTGGCTCCCTTACTAGACCTCCCGGCTGCTTGGCAGCAACTTGAGCCATGCGGGCGAGTCCAGTTTGAGACCTGAAGGAGGAACCAATGTCTCAGGGGTCTGCTAGTCTCCATCTGACCAGTAAGCCTGGTCTCTTTTATAATTTTGAGTTTTGTTCCACATTTTGCTCCCATTCTGTCCAGGACCTTCTAATGTGATCCCTTTCAGAGCATTGGACCACGTGAACAGTAGTCTCCACAACGCTGAGGCCAGGAGAACTAGCTGGTGCCCAGCCACCACCACACCTAGAAACGGGATCATCCTAGAGGATCCTGGACACAGTGGGAGGAAAATGTGGAATGAAATCCAAAATTCTAGATAATGACAGGCTTCCCGGTCAGTTACCGGACACATGGTAGGAACCCCGGACACAACGGCCCTTCATCATCTCCAGTCAGCAACTGAACTCATCCCCACGACTCAAATGTCAACCACATAACTGGCCGGTAAGGGGCACGATACCACTAGTGAGGTACACACACTGTAGAATACTAAACCGTGTGCGGGCAAAGGGGCAAAAGGGAAACTGGAAACAGGGAAGGAAGGAGTGGGGAAAGTGACGCTAAGCTGTGGGGATCGCCATGAGCGAGCTGAAACTGAAGGTGTCTGGAGGCTGGGTTTAGAGCGGACGGCCTGCTCTGGGAACCCACCCAGTCACAACAATGTTAGGAACATTTTAAGGACCATACAGAGAGCATTTGCAAAACCAAGTGGAGCAAGCAGGAAGGGCGAGGGAAACAAACTGAGAGGGCAGAAACAGAGAACGCAACGTGCAGCCGCGGGAATGCTGATGCATTGTGGGGACCACACCAATGTCACCGAACCGTCTGTGGCTCGATTGCCAAATGCTACTACGTCTGGCTTGCTAATTTGCTTGGCAAACTGTTAACCTCAACCACGATCAACTACGTTTCGTTTGGCTTGTTTTTTTTAAGAATTCATAAAAGACCCTGTAGTTTACAACCTCTCAGAAGCCAAGGAAACACCCGTCGGTCCAAGAAGCTTCACACCCTGTATGTTTCTCTGAAGACGGTGCTACGAGAACAGACAAGCATGTCTGCAAAGAGAGATCCTGACTGGCTCCCTCGGCCAGCCCCAGCCAAACGAACACTTTCTTTTGTTGAATGACCTTGGCTGAGCGATTTTAAGGCTCTCTGCTGCCCAGCACGCAACGCCTGAACACAGAACTCCGAGTCACGCGTGCAAGTATGTCATTAACAAGGCCAAAACCAGAGCAAGAGGTCAAGAAACCCAAAGAGCTGAGACTCCATAGGAAGCTCTCCCGACTCCTCTGCCATGGCTGAAAACGGCTCATGCCTGCCTCCGCAGTACCCCACAGTGGTACCTGGAGAAATACATGCCCCGCACGCTCCACCTTTGTCCTCCTGCTAAGGTCTGTCTGAGTCAGAAAAGAGAAGCAGGCTACACTGATGATAGACAGTATTATAGCGATTACCTGCAGGCTTCTCTACTCTACGAAAACAGGGAGCAAATGTTTTAATACATGAGCGTTGTTTTCAGCTTCCCTCAGGTCAGCCGCTGACTCGTGGCGATCCCAATACACAAGGGGGCTGGACACTGCCCGGGGTCCTTCCCCCATCCCTGTCATCAGCTGAGGATCTGACCACTAAGAGCCATCATGTTTCCGTTGGCTGATTGTCAGGAGATTGCCAGACCTTTCCTGCTAGTCCATCTGAGCCCGGAGGCTCCACGGAAACCTGTG